AGAGAGAGAGAGAGAGAAAGAAAGAAAGAGGTAGGTAGATAGAGAGAGAACGCTTCGAGTTTTAGGGGTTTTGTTGTATGGTGCTTTGTAAGAATCAATGTTATAATCATCTTACCATTCCCTCCATTCCCCTCCATTCCCTCCATTCCTCCATTCCTCCATTCCCCTCCATTTCCTCCATTCCCCCTCCATTCCCCCATTCCCCTCCATTCCCCACCTTCCCCTCCATTCCCCACCACCCCCACCATTCCACTCCATTCCTCACCATTTTCCCACCATTCTCCACCATCACCCTAAGCCAACTCACCGTCTCCTCCACTTTCTCTCCCCCCAAAACAGCTGGACAGACGCCCCCTCCACTACGCGATGGCGGTGGAAGGCGTGGATCAGGTGGCCAAGGTTCTCGTGCAGGCAGGTGCTCGGAGGACGGTCAAGGATCTGGTAAGAAGGTTGTCGTGTTTTTTGTAGGGTTGGTTGGGGGGTTGGGGGGGTGGAAGGGGTTGGGTGTTGGGGGAGGATGGGGAGGAGGGAGGTGGGTGTGGAAGGGAGGAGGTTGGGGGGGTGGATGGGGGTTGGGAAGATGGGGGAGGATGGGATGGGGTGGAAGGAATGGGGAGGTTGGGGGTTGGAAGGGGGTTGTGGGGATGGGGATGGGGGTGGAGGATGGGAGGGTGGGGGTTGTGAGGATGGGAGGGGGGGGGTTGGGGAGGATGGGAGGTGGGGGTTGGGGAAGGTGGAGTAGGTTGCGATACCTTGGTAGGTTGTGGTAAGGTGTTCTAGTGGGCTATGAAGTTGTAGGCGTTGTAGAAAGTCATATTGGTTGTGATAAGTTGAAGGACTATGGTAAGGTGTCTAGGAGCTATGGGTTGTAGGGGTTGTAGATCATAGTGGGTTGTGATAAGTTGAAGGATTGTGACAGGGTGTGGTTGGCTGTGGTAAGCTAAATTATGGTAGGTTGTTGTAGTTTGAAAGGGTGTGGTTGACTGTGGTAGTTCGAGAGGTTGTGGTTTTGCAATGAGTAGAAAATGGTACCATGCCATCAGATATCTAAGAAACAGCAAATTCACAGTATACAAGTTTTCAAGATATGTTGTAAATAAAAAAAAAATAAGAAAAAAAACGTATATCAGGAGCATAAATACTATCAATAAAAAGTAATAAACAAACAATAAACACCGAGTGTACATTTTATTGTAATAATAAACAGACATGAAGGTTATGTAATCCTATTTCATGCTAAGATTGGCGGATTTAGATCAGTTATCGAAACGAATGAGATTTCAAGTAATACTTATTCTTACTTTCACTAGAGAAATTAGAAAGATATTATTATTTTCCAGTAGCAAGCATTTCCAAAGTAATGCTTATTCTTACTTAGAAAGATATTATTATTTTCCAGTAGCAAGCATTTCGAAATTTTCCTTGTTCGTTATATACGTGTAGTTCGCTGTCTGACTTTTTATTGAAGGATGGATATATGGATTATGGATCTGTAGATGGATTTGGCTACTTCGCATATATAAGGATTTAGAAAGTATAGTGGAGAAGACAGGGGTGACAAATACATATGTTGAACATACACGTAAACGTACATCACATTCACGTAAACACACACACACACAAACGCACACAAATTATAGATAGTTTATTATAACTTAAGCCTTATTGATATAGGATAATAGTAAGTATATTAACAGCATGAATCGTTGTGCATGACTTTATGTAATAATAAATGAGTGTTGTTCATCTTTCATATAATTGATATCGAAGCTTCATTAAACTTTTTTATAATCTTACGCATGTCAGTATATTATAAAAGTTGCCATACATGTTTTTTTGTGTGTGTGTGATGTTTCTCTCTTGTGTATATATATAAATGATATATGTATCTTTTAATTTTTTGTTGCGTGTGTGTTTTTTCTCTATGCTTAGGTGGTCAAAATTCATGCTTTGTGATGCAGCATTTCTAGTTTCTGCTTTCGTGTGCTAATATTTGTTATTGTGTAATAGGTTAAGAAATAATGTATTTCTCTCTCTCTTTCTTTTTTATTTTTATTTGTCTCTCTCTCTTTATTCGCCTTCTTTGATTTTCCTTTTGTCTTATCCTTTTTCCCTTTATTTTTATTGATTTGCCTGTCTGTACCTATACCTTTGTCTCTCTCTATCTCCTCCTTCTCCCCCCCTCTCCTACTTCTCTCTCACCCTCACCTTTTTCCTGACCCTCATTCAACACCCTTCCCTCTCCACATCCGCGCGCCCCCCACACTCCCTCCCCCCCACTCCCTCTTTCACCCAACTACTCCCACTCCCCATCCTCTCCCCCAACACCCACGCCCACCACCACAAATAGCGAGGACGCACGCCTTCCGGGAACTTCATCAACCCCGAAGGAATAAGGGCGCTGCAGAAGGAGGAACGCGCCCTTGCAGATGACAGCGACGAGGCTGTAGAAGGGGCGCGGTGACGTGACGACCAATGGTATATCTTGGTGACTGAGGAT